ACACAAAGATGGCTGTCATCTCTAAGGAGGAACAGACCAAACATACGACAATGAAATGACCCAACAGCATCCGCCTTTGGCTTTGGGATATTAGTTGCGGTTAGGATCTGCCTCCTGGATCCCAGGTCTCAAAGCAATCGACTAAACATACCATTAACTTTATTTTACAGAATATAAAGAAAACATTCTCAAAAGGAACACAAGGTCTTGAAGACCACCAAGATCCTTGGTCTCTAGGTTCTGACATTCTCACAGACCTGAGCTCTTCATCTCTAGGGAACTGCTCTCCAGCAGCCTGCCTGGGAACCAGGGCTACAAGGCGGCTTTCCTGGCCTGCAGGAACCCTCAGAATGCGATGAGCATGAGTTTTCTTTTCCCGGGCCTGGACGAAAAGTAACAACCTATCCCACACTATGACACCTCACATAACTCCCTACCTTTTGACAGTCAAATGCCATAAATACATTGTGGAGCCAGAGTTAACCTCATTATTCATGCCCTCAGGGCCCATGGATCACAGAAAGCCACTGATATTACAAATTCCAAATTTTCTGTACCTCTGTGCCATACACGCATAGAATGTTTCTGGAAAGACATACAGAAAAACGGAGGACAGTGGTTGCCAACTGAGAAGAGGCAGCACATAAACACGGGACGCGAGAGGGAGGGAAATTTGCTTCTCACCATATTCTTGTACAAATTTTAACTTATAGACATGTATTACCCCCTGAAGGCTAAATAAACACGTTGGACGCCTTTTCGTTTCATCTGTTTACATTGCCCATCTCCTCACCCCTCCTCCGTCCCCTTTTCCTCCCATTCCTTCCACCTCTCACAGCCTCTGCCCACCATGCGCCAAGATGTACAAGCTCTTGATGAACTAAATGGTAGCCAGAGACTGAGCAAAGAGCCCCATGCAGTAAGAAGAGACGCCAAGTGGAACCAGGAAGTTTTTCAAGGTCACGTCCTTTACCGAGCCAACCCAACACACCTGGCAACTCTTCACCTACATGGAAGCCAATGTGAAACAGCAAATGCTTTGCCTTCTCATCTTCTGGAAGTAAACAGGTCAAGCATCCTAACTTCAGAATCAACCAGCCAATTCTTTCCCAAGCAAGTGTATCTGCAAGAATCCACTCTAAAGAGATCTAAAGCTGCACAGTATTCCACCCCCAAAGGAGGCTCTTTGTCCCAGGGCCTTGTGCTGTAACAGACACTTTACTTTCAGTCTCAATTCAGGACACTGAATACTCCCTGGCCTCTAAAAAGCAGGAATTATGAAGAGAGAGAGCTCATTGGAAGGAAAATAAACCTGTAAATCCTGTTAGGCTTTGCGCTTCATTCCAAAGGATTTTTCCCCAAAACAATACCATTAGCAATACCATGATGGCCCTAAAAGGGAGGATTCTGTACAACGGAATCCCAGTTCTTTATTCAAAATAACCCCCAGGACAGCACAGCAAAATCAGGACTCCATGATCCTCACCACCGCAAGAGCCAACTCATTTTCACTCTCTGGCTGTGGGCTCGCCGTGATCCTCCTTATAAATCCCTTTTCTGAAATTTGGATGTGCTTCCTACCCTCCAGGCTTCTCTTCTTCCAAGTGGGCAGTCGGTCCACAAATATTCATTAAGGGCCTCCCAAGTGCCAGTCACAGAGAAGAGAAAGGCTTGATCCATGCCCTCAAGGAGCAAACAGGGAGAAGAGACAAACAAGCAATTATAACACAAGGCTGTTAGTGCTGTAACCAAGCTCAAAAGAACTCTTCCCACTGGAGCCTGGGAATCCTAGGAGATGTTCCTTGGATGCTGAAGAAGAGAACAGAGGTTCTGCAAGCAAAGACCGGAGTGGGGAAGACCATCTCAGGCAGAGGAAAAGCAAGCATGATGATACAGAGGCATGGAGTGAACACAAAGTCAGGAAGAAACTCAGTGTGGCACGAATTATGGAATCCCCCTTCTTGGACTTGGCCCCTTTTAGAAGGGGCTCAACTTCTAAACTCTGAACTTGGGCAGAAAAGTCTTAATATCTGATAGCAACTTGTTTTCGCCACTATTACCAGACTTTACTATTACAAACATGTCTGTACGGAATCATGGCAGAAACCAGTCTCCCACGTTAGAGAACGTGAGGACGACTATGATCACAAGAACCGCGCCTAGTTTACTCCACAGGTTAGTGGAACCAAAGAAAAAGAACCGACCGACATGCCAACATAGGGCTCCTTAGCTGCAGTTGGTACCTCCCTGCACAAGCCCTCCTGGCTCCTCCTGGAAGCTGTTGGCCTTTAACAGCACCCCTCCAGCCTCTCTGGTCAGGCAGCCTCTGCTTCCAGCCCTAATCTGCGTTGCCAGGCAGCCTCTTAACCTCACTCAGAGGTCAGAGGGCAAGAAGCTGCAGAGTGTCTGAGCCCACTGACCTTAGCCCTCCATCTCCAGTGCCTTCCCGTATCACAAACCTCTAACACCCCACTGTAGAGCTACAGCTGCTTTATTGTGTCCACGTGTATTTGCTCCTGTCCAGCACATGTCTGTATCTCCATCTGTTTTACCTACTCCTTACATTGTAAACTTTCCGAAAGCAGGGATGAAAAATTCCCCACCCTCCCTCCTTGGCACGCCCATCTCTATTCAGAACCACACTCCCTTCAAACGATACTGTGGGAGAACATTGCAATTCCTTAAGTTTTAAAAGTTAAAGGGGAGGGGGATGGAATGGAACTTGGCTTAGAGCTAGATGCAGAATGGCCCATATAATTTATAGCCTGCACCCTGACACTTGAGAGTGAAGACAGCGCTCTCATAAGCAGCAGGGACAACTTATAAACTAGGTCTGGCCCAGGGAAAACAGAGGCAAATGGTCACCCTTGTTAGAAAGGTCATTCCAAATAGAAGAGTTATTCCAGAGCTCCAAGAGGGGCACACCGAACTCCTTCAGTCCCTGACTCTTGTGCCTGAAGCCTAAAGGGGCTCGTGGCAGAAAGCCCAGGACCAGGAAGTTCTTCCTTCTGTCTAACTCAGATCCTTAAAGATTCAAGTTGATCCCTCTTTTATTAACCTCAGGGCCTCAGAGAAAACGCTGCCCTGGGCCTTCAGCCTTGGTAGGAATTCCTCATTACGAGTTCGACTGCTAGCTCTCCATCCTTCAACTGAACCAAATTCAATCCGGCTGGCTCAGAAATAGAAAAGCCAAGGGTTTGGGAGTCGTTCCCAATGAGAACACAGTTCATCTTTAATTTGACCCACGTCCCCAGAAGCCCTCACAAGCCAAACCCAAGGAAGAAATGGTACCTGTATGCACACTGTTGAGACTAGGATGCTCTGCCCTTATCCAAAACTACCCCTGCAGGGGACCTGAGCTCCAGGAAGAATGGACTCCCACCCCTCCCCGCTCCCAGCCCCCAGAGAGCTGACTCAAGCCCACGGCAGAGCTGGGTGGCCGGGAAGACTCCATGAACAAGGCACAGTCCCTCTTCTTCCCTCCCCTACTCAACATCAGGATGCTGCTATCCTGGTTGAGAGCAAGGACCTTGCTGTCTTCTTTTCCACATACAAAAAGAAGTCTCTGATGGGGGTGGGGAGGGCAAGAAGGTCGGGACCCACACACAAACAGAGCAGGCAGGCTCCAGCAGCCTTTTCCCACAGCAGTTACCTGCCCCTCAGCACACGCTCTTTCCCAGGGCCTGCACCCACTTGCCATCATCCCCTACCCACTAATTTATAGCCATTCATTTTTTATTTTAGAAAAGAATTATTTAGGGAGCATTGTATAAAGAGAGGGCAACTATTTGACCACCCAAAGGCCACTGAGCCAACAAAAACTAAACAGGCAACCCTGCCCCACGTGACCTTGGGCTAGTCACTTCGCCTCTCCCGGCTTGCGTTTTTTTCATCAACAAAATGGTACCATCAGTGAGATGGTTTATAAGGTTCTTCCTGGCTCCAAGAGTTGAATATTTAAATCTATGTATTTCCTGAAGAAAGGGCTAAAGAAAATCAGTGTAGAGAGGCAGAATTCAGACTAACCTTTTAACTTCTGCTTTAACTGGTAAAATTTTGACTCTAGAAACTGTGCAAATTACCATCTCCTCTGGTCCCACTTTTTCTTTCCCACTGACCTTCTAGTTTTGCTGATGTCAATCTTAACCACAGGGCTCGGAGTCTCATGAGGCAATAACCCGGTCAAATCAATTTTGCCAATGCTGATACTAACCCACAAACTGGGTCTGTTATTACTAGCAGTAAGTCTGGCCATAAAAGTGAAATTCATGTTACTTATGATCATAAGCCCATTGCCTGGACAGAAATAAATCACTTACTGAATAACAATGCCCACCAAATTCTTGCAGCCTTTCAAATCCCTAAGTGCCATGAGTTAATATTCTTGTCCAAAAATAAAGTCAGTATCTCAAAGGGGAAGGTGGAATGGATAGACCCCCCCCAACAAACAACAACAAAATCCAGCCCTTACACACACACACACACACACACACGCGCGCGCCCGCGCGCGCCTCTTGCTCTGACCAGACCAAGATAGCCCCGCTTTCAGGTTTGCCCACCTTAACTGTGGTTAAAAATGGTTAAGTATGGAGTCCCCCTCCCTTTACTGCTTTGGGTAAGTATACTGCAGGCTACTCGCCTCCACTGCCAACTGACGGTACACTAAAGAAACCCCGTTTTTCATCCGCATGTAAAATGAAGCTGCACCCCTCCTCTACCTGCTGGAAACTACGCGGGTGTGCACACACCCTGGGCAAATGGGCACTGCACCCCGCGAGTTACCTGGAAGGCGTTTGCTAAAATGGACAGAAAGGAGGAAAGATCAATGCAATTCAAGTGCGGACGGTCACACTCATGTGGGGGGGGAGGGGGCACAAACGCAAGCCGGGAAGTCCCCAGCGGTGCCTGCACCTGGGAGGCGACCGCATAGGATGGATGCGGGGCTGAGGAAGTGCGGGGAGAGGAAAGAGCTGGGGGAAGGCGGGAGGCCGGCCGCTCACCTGTCCGTACACCTTGATGGGCTCCGGCTGCAGGGCAGCGCTCCGTCTCCTCCGGAGCGGCTTCTCGTCCGCCCCCCGGGGCCCCCAGCGCGCCCACAGCCGCAGCTCGCGCGGCTCGCCCTGCACCACGCGGAAGCCCCGGTCCTGGGGCAGGGACGCGCGGCCGCCGTGCAGCGTCTGCGTCCACACCTCGCACAGAGCCCCGGGCGGCAGCAGCGCGACCAGGGTGAATAGGAAGGGGAGTCGCGACTCCCTCCTGCTGCTCCGTGTCGCCATGTTCGGGCGAACGCTGCCGCAGGTGGCGCCGCCGCCAGGAGAGAATGTGCAGCGCGAGGCCGGGACGGCGGCTG